TTGCTGAAAGAATTCATTCATTGTAAGACCCTTGGGAGCTTTTTCTCTCCTTTTCATTCATCATCAGCACAATCAAATGAGACTGCTTAACTTTTTATCTATCTATATTATGTTTATGGAAAACTTACCCCTGAATCTTTGTCTCAATAGAAATAAATCTTAGCTTCCAGCCAAGATGGAGGCATAGACAGATACGCTTTGCCTCCTTGCACAACCAAAAGAAAAACAACAAATTTAAAAACAAAAAACAACCAAAACTGACAGAAAATTGAACTGTATGGAAGTCCAACGACCAAGAAGTTAAAGAAGAAATATTCATCCAGATCAGTAGGAGGGATGGAGATGGGCAGCCAGGGCAGAGGGGAATCATAGCAAAGCAGTGGCTGGTGGACCAGGCAGTTCCACATTTGCATGCAGATAAACCAGGAGGAACAAGCAGGGAGTGAGACAGACCACCCAATTCCCAGGCAGGGAAATAAAACCTCAAAACCTCTGACTGAAAAAACCTGTGGTGGTTGAGGTGGCAGGAGAAACTCCATGCCTCCCAGGAGAGATCGTTGGAGAGATCCATAGGGTCCTAGAATGTACACCAAACCACTCAGAAGGGCCCAATTTGCTTCTGGGTAGTGGGGTAGTGACTTAAAACTGGCAGAGAGCTGAGCAAGTGGCATTGCTCCCTCTTGGACACCACTCCCACATATAGTGCCCCAATGTGGAGACACAGGTTGCCTCACCCTGGCGAGTACATCAGGCTCCACCCCTTACTACATAATAGGCCCACCTAGACCCAAAAAATGGCCCAAATGAAAGAAGAGATCAAAGCTCCAGAAAAAATACAACTAAGTGATGAAGAGTTAGCCAACCTATCAGATGCACAGTTCAAAACACTGGTAATCAGGATGCTCATGGAAATGGTTGAAAATGGTCATAAAATAGAGGAAGAAGTGAAGGCTATACAAAGTGAAAAAAGGGAAATGCACAGGGAACCAACAGTGACAGGAAGAAAACCAGGACTCAAGTCAACAGTTTGGACGAGAAGAAAGAAATAAACATTCAACCAGAACAGAATGAAGAAACAAGAATTCAAAAATATGAGGAGAGGCTTAGAAGCCTGTGGGACAACTTTAAATGTTCCAACATCCAAATAATAGGGATGCCAGAAGGAGAAGAGGAAGAACAAGAAGGTGAAAACTTATTTGAGAAAACAACTAAGGAGAACTTCCCCAATCTGGCAAAAGAAATAGACTTTCAGGAAGTCCAGGAAGCCCAGAGAATCCCAAAGAAGTTAGACTCAAGGAAGCACATGCCAAGGCACATCATAATTATATTTTCCAAGATTAAAGGTAAGGAGAGAATCTTAAAAGCAGTGAGAGAAAAGGAGACAGTACCTACAAAGGAGTTCCCATTAGACTGTTAGCTGATTTCTCCAAAGAAACCTTACAGGCAAAAAGGGGCTGGAAAGAAGAATTCCAAGTCATGAAAGCCAAAGACCTGCATCCAAGCTTACTCTATCCAACAAAGCTATTATTTACAATGGAAGGGCAGATAAAGTGCTTCCAAGATGAGATAAAAGTTCAAGGAGTTCATCATCACCAAGCCCTTATTACATAAAATGTTAAAGGGACTTATGTAAGGAAAAGGAGATAAAAAACTATGAACAGTAAAATGACATCTAACTCACAACTATCAACAACTGAACCTAAAAAATAAAAACAAACTAAGCAAACAACTAGAACAGAAACAGAATGAGAAATGAAGATTACATGGAGAGTTATAAGTGGGGAGAGGGGATGGAGAATGGGGAGAAAAGGTATAGGAAATAAGAAGCATAATTAGTAGGTACAAAATAGACAGGGGGAGATTAAGAATAGTAGAGAATATGTAGAAATCAAAGAACTTATATGTATGACCCACAGACATTAACTAAGGGGTGGAGGGGAATAAAGGAGGGAAAAATGGGACAACGATAATAGCATAATCAATAAAATATATTTAAACAAAGAAATAAATCTTAAAAAATAGTAAACTAAGTTAACATGTTTGAGGAAATGTACAGCAAATAAAAGCAATGGCTACAAATTGGTAATGCTGTATGCACTGAATAAATGTTTATTGAATGTGAAATATAATCTAAAAAACTTCTGAAGGGCTTAGTACACTTCCGGCTGAAAGACATGATTGTTCAGTCTTGGGATCTAATTTGTATTCTGCTATATACATGTGAAGGTCAGTTTCCCAATCTACAAAACTGTGAATCAGGCCAGATGGACAGGAAAGAGGTTTATAAATTAAGAAGTGAATAAATTCAAATATTATTCCCCAATTCAATAACTTCTTTATTATTTGGGGGGAAAAATTAACTCACTAGCCACAAAAACAAATACTGATATAGAAAAAAATTTAAAATATAATTTACAACAGCATCGAAAACCATGAAATTTTTATGAATAAATCTAATAAATACAAGCAAAATTTTCACACAAAAGATGCAGAATATTGATGTGATAAATTAAAGACCTAAATAAATAAAGAGATATATTGTGTTGATAGATCAAAAAAACCAGTATTATTGAGGTAAGAGTATTTCTATTTTTGAACAATATCTATTTAGTTAGGAAATTGTTGCACTTTTTAGAGGAAAAAGTATTTTTACCTGACTTCTATGATTTTTAGTATGGCTCATTTGTAATTAAACAGATGAAAATATGAGCTAGAAAAGTATATACTGTATAGTGTAATTATTGCATCTTTGGTTTTTAAAAAGTGAGGCATAAAATCACATTTTTTGGGGGGATGGAAGCAGAAGAGGGTATGGGGAATAAATGATAATGAAACAAATATAATAAAAATGAACTACTGAAGTGTCGAAAATAAAAATATTTGTTACATGCTAAAAAAGATGGCAATTTTTCTTAAATTTATATATGTATACTGAACAAAATCTAAACTAAAATTCCCAATAGACATTTTTTGTGAAAAGAATAAAAAAGAATGAAGTTTGCATGCTCACACTACCTGATTTCAAGACTTACTCTAAAGCTACAGTAATCAAGACAATGGCCATGAGAAAAGTCATATAAATCAGTGGAACAAAAGAGGGAGTTTAGAAATAGATGCATGTATTTTTGGTTATTTAGTTTGTAACAAAGTGCCAAGGTATTTCAATAGAGATTATTCTAACACATGGCATTGAGATGATCAGACACCTATATAGAAAAAATATCCTTTGAGCTATACCTTTATACCATATTAAAAAGTCAACTAAAATGAATTATGGAGCTAAACAATACCTAAAACTTTAAAACTTCTAGGAGAAGATCTGAGAGACATTAGTTAAGTGAAGTCTTTTTAGGTAAAATACAAAAGCACAATTCATTAAAGAAAAAAAACTTGGTAAATTCGACCTCATTAAAATTCAAAAATGTCTGCTTTTTAAAAAACACAGTTAAGAAAATGAAAAGACAGGTCATAATAGGCTGAGAGAAAAATCGTAAAACACATATTTGAGAAAATATTCATATGCAGATGAAGAACTATCTAATATAATAACACAAGAAAAGACAACCTAGTTTTTAAAAAAGGATAAAAGATTTGAATACACACTTCACCTAAGAAGAGATGCAAGTAAGTACATGAAACAGTTCTCCCTAACTAGTCATTAGGGAAAGGCAAATTAAAACAACATAGAGATATTACTGTCTCACTATAATAGACAGACTGTAATGGCCAATCAAAAAATAGAAAATTTGAAATGTAGATAAGGATGTAGAGCAACCATAACTCTCATACTTTGCTGGTTGGAATGCAAAATGGTACAGCCACTTGGAAAAATAATTTAACCTATATGTGAATGCTTTTAGCAGCTTTATTCATAATAGTCAAAATTGGAAATAAGTTCAATGTCCACCAAGTAGTGAATGGATAAACAAGTTTTTGTACATCCACACAGTGGAATACTATTCAGATGAAAAAGAATGATTGTTTGATACATGGACCTACATGGGAGAGTCTCAAAAGCATTATGCTAAGTAAAGAAGCTCAACACAAAATGCTGCATATTGTCTGATTGCAATAAATAACATTCTGGAGAAGGCAAACCCTATTACAGAGACAGAAATTATATTGGTGGTTGCCACATTGGTGGTTGAGGAGAAGCCTGTGGTCATCAGGCAGAAGAGATGACAAGGATTTGGAGCAGGATGATGGTTGTCAGATTAAGAGAAGGCCATGAATGCACCCTTAGTCTCTTAGCTCTAAATGGAAAATTAATTCATCCACAGAGACCTGTTTGCATAATACAGATGTTTGCAGATAATCTTAATAATTTACTTAAATATTCTTATTTGAATGTTTAGCTCTGTATGTACTTAACCATGAAAATACATAAACTAAAAATAGCCAGGGAAGTGAGTCACAAATATAAAGTTTAACTTACCAGTTTTTGCTGATAATGGTGTTGATGCTGGTATTGGTGAGGCTAATAATGATGGCATTGATGATGATGACAATGGTGATGATGATGATGATAATGGTGGTGGTGATGATGATGACAAGGGTGGTGGTGAAGATGACAATGTTGGTGAAGATGACAATGCTGGTGAAGTTAACAATGGTGATGATGATGACAGTGGTGATGGTGATGATGTTGATGATGACAGTGATGATGAAGTTAACAATGGTGATGATGATGATGACAGTAGTGGTGGTGTTGATGATGACAATGGTAATGATGATAACAACAATGATGATGATGACAAAGATGACAGTGGTAATGAAGTTAACAATGGGGATGGGGATGGTGATGATAGTGACAGTGTTGATGATAAAGATGACAATGGTGGTTTAGATGATGATGACAATGGTGATAAAGTTAAAACTGGTGATACTGATGATGACAGTGGCAATGATGATAACAATGGTGATGATGATGATGACAGTAGTGGTGGTGATGATGTTGATGATGACAATGATGTAGTTGATGACAATGGTGATGAAGTTACCAATGGTAATGTTGATGATGACAGTGGTGGTGTTGGTGTTGATAAAGGCAATGGTGATGTTGATGGTGACAATGGTGATGAAGTTGACAATGGTGATGATGGCATAGGTAGTGGTGATGATGATGATGACAATGGTGATAAAGTTAACAAGAATAATGTTTTTGATGAAGACTGGGGTGATGATGATGATGACAGTGATGATAATGATGACAATGATGACATTGAAGATGACAGTGGTGATGATGATGACAATGATGATGATGATGACAATGATGATGATGATGACAGTGGTGGTGAAGTTAACAATGGTGATGATGATAGTAGTGATGATAATGACAATGTTGATGATGATGACAAGGATGATTTAGATGATGACAATGGTGATGATGATGACAATGGTGATGTTGATGACAGTGGTGATGATGATAACAATGATGATTTAGCTGATGATGACAATGGTGATGAAGTTAATAAGGATAATGTTTTTGGAGAAGACAGTGGTGATGATGATGACAGTGGTGATTTAGATGACAATGATGATGATGACAATGGTGACATTGATGATGACAGTGGTGATGATGATAATGACAATGGTGACAATGGTGATGCAGTTAACAATGGTGATGATGATGATAGTGGTGATGATAATGACAATGATGATGATAATGATGACAATGGTGATTTAGATGATGACAATGGTGATGAAGTTAACAAGGATAATGATGATGATGATGACAGTGGTGATGATGATGATAATGACAATGGTGGAGATGACACTGATGATGCAGTTAATACTGGTGATGATGATGATGATAATGGTGGTGATGATAATGATGATGATGATGATAATGATGACACTGATGATTTAGATGATGATGACAATGGTGATGAGGTTAACAATGGTGATATTGATGATGACAGTGGTGATGATGTTAATGACAATGTTGATAATGGTGATGATGAAGATGATGATGATGATGAAAGTGGTGATGATAATGATGGCAGTGAGGATGACAATGATAGTGACAAGGTTGATGATGATGAAGACGATGCTGCTGCTGACAATGGTAAAGATGGTGATGATGAAGATGATGATAATTCTGCTTCTGCTATGAGAATAAAGAAGATTTCTTCTTTAAGGCAGCATTTCTCAGAGTGTAGTTCTCAGACCACAGTATAAGCATCTTGGACTTGGAAATGCAAATTCTCACACCCTACTCTAGGCCAACTGAATAAGAAACTTCAAGTGAGGCCCAACAGTATATGTTTTTAATAAATTATAAGAGTAATTCTGATGAAAAGTAAAGGCAAAAACCCACTGCTTTAGGATATAAAAGAAAGGATTGAAATAGCCCCATAGTGTTTCCTAGTGGCAAAGTCACACTAGAATCACATAACTATAATTTTTCAACCGATGTTGTTTTATTACCTGTTAAAAAAATTCAAGCCTCACAGTCTCCAGACAGATAATTTTCTGATCTAGTCTCTCTGGAAAATGAATGGCAATTTGTTTCAAATTTGTGATTTGTGATGATTGATGGGCATTGTCATGCCCATCAAGAGAAAACTATTGATATACTCTAAAATCAATGACTATTAATTACAGTCCTTCAGTGGCTCCAGAAGAGTCCTGTTTTGCCAGTACCTCCCCAGTAATTTAGTTCGGATTTGGGAAGTTTTCTGCACCTGGCTGATTGTGTACTGCCAGCTAATTCCCAAACTCCTCTTTGCTGTTACTCTTCAAGGTTGAGCTCTCCTCCAAGCCACGCCCTCAACGGTACCTGGGATTTACCCTGGGCCAGCTGCCCAGAAGAGGGACCATTCAGGCCAAGATTAGCAGGAGAGCCTGAGCACAGGAGACCAAGGTCAACATTACAGATCTGCATTCTGAGCTCCATCTGTTATGGTGCGATTGTTGACATAGAGACTGGGAAAGCCTTTTAGGCCTCAGGTGAAATGGACCAATCAAACCAGCCTTTGTAAACTGCTTAGAGCTTCATTTAACAGGGTTGTTTTCATTCCATTTCTACCACACAGAATAATTATCAGCCACACAGAACTAGAAATAAGTAGAATGGGACATAGAAATAGCCCAATTGCATTCGAACATCAATAAAAAATTTTTTTAAAAAGAAAAGAAATAGCCCAAATCAGTCTTACCCTTAGGAGTGAGGGCTGCCAAAACAGAACCTGTGAGAGTGGACAGAGGCAACTGTCAGTCCTTGCAGGGGGTGGCCCCTGGCTCATTTCCCATGTTCTGGAATAGCCCATTCTGTTCATGAGTCACTTAAAGTATAAAAGGTGCCTCACCTGAGCAGATGGCTCCGGCATCTTCTTCGTGGTCACAGGTGTGAGTGAACCAGGTGTCATGGACACACAGAGCCAGGTGGCTCTCCTCACCACTGCAGTGCACATTGTCCAGGAGAATCTTCCCAAAGCCAGGGCCGAAGTGGGATCCTGGTGGGGCAGAAACCGCCTGGCCGCACCCAAGTTGCCTGCACACCACCTGCACCTCTTTCAGACCCCAGCCCTCAACACACACTGACCCCCAGGTGCCCTGATAGAAAATTTCCACTCGTCCAGAGCACCTTCCAGTACCATTTACGAGCCTCATTGTAGGCCAGGCTTCTGCAAAAACAAAAATAAAAATAAAGGTACATTTTTGAAACTTGGCTGTTACCATCATCCTATTTGCCTATCTTACAAATTAGGGGGAAAATTTGATTACTCCACATTTATGAGCACATTCTAAAAAACACTACTTAATAACTCCACCATTGTGTGATGTGCCCTCTATTAGTCACTCAACAAAGCTGATTAGATTGTAGAATATGGATTTCTCATATGTTGGTGAATAGGGCTTGACATCAGCAGGCCAGACATGAAAAATTAAGGAAATGTATTTCCATCAGTGGGGAAATGCATAAATTAAGTGGTTTATTTAAAATATTTAACACTATAGCTGTTAAAAGCAGTAAACTCTCTCTCTACATATATTTATATATATGTCAACATGCATGAATCTCACAAACATAACATTGAGGAGGGTTTGAGCAAAATGGAAAACCTACTCATGGACGTGGACAACAGTATAGAGATCACAGGGGGGAGGGGTTATATGGGGGGCTACTTAGTAATGGAAAAATACAATAACATTTTTAATAAAATAAAAATATAGAAATATTTAATAAAGGGACTGAATGTTATACAGAGACTGATATCATTTGTGTCAAAGAAAAACACAAAATAACAGAGATCACATAATTAATATTTATAAAAATGTTAAAAATGAACTATAAGGATATACACAAAATTCAATAGAGTGTTTGTGTCTGAGGAAGAAGAGAACAGAGAATGGGAATGGGTAATTTGGGGGGAACTTCATATGTATCTATAATGTTTTATTTCTTAATAAGACTGGAAAATCAGTTTAACAAAATGTGAGCAACAGTCAAGAGTAGGTAAAGGAGACATGGTTATTGGCTTTCTTATTCTCTGTATTGTCTGAGAAACATTCAAAATGTTTCTACGGAACAGCAGGAAAGCGGGATGTTCAGGTACGAGCCATGTGGGAAGCTCAGCTACTAGGCCAGGTCCTGGGGCTATGTCCTCTCACTGCGGTCCCCATGCACCTCCGAGGCCTCTGACTGTCAGCTCCCCAGGATCCTCCCCTGGGGTTCACCAGCACAGGTGCATGTCCTGTGAGGAACACAGCTGACCTGATGTGTTGGGCCAAGGAACTTTGGCTCTACGACTCGATGGTGCCGAATCAACCACAGGTAGCACTACAACAATATGGAAATGGTGGTTAGGACTCAAACTTCTCTTCCTGAGACAGACAAGAACACATCAGAGAAGCACTCAGTCAGTAGGTGAAGACCACCAGCTATTCCGCACCTTACCAAAGTACCTGGACTGGCCACATGTTCATAAGGAACACCCTGCTTTCTGATGAGTTTGGAGTCAAGTTCAGGTGGCTGATAGAAAGCTCCTAAATGTTATCCTGCTGTCCACAAATGCCTTGCCTCCTTTAAACCTACATTGACTCCAGGTTCTGCATTAGGGTGCTCAGCAGTAGTAAAAATAAGCCATTGAAGAATTGGGTAAAAGTTTCAAAAATCATTGTATCCATAAGGATGCCGATTATCTTGGATAACCCCCTAGAGGATGCTGTAAAACCCAGAGACAGGATCCATCTGCTTATACCTCCCATCTGGGTGATAAAGTATGAATCTATAGAACCAGTGGCAAAAGCATGGCTCTACCTGGTAAGATGGTTGGTAGCTTTTCATTATCTGCCAAGGCTGAAAAACAAAAATGTTGTTAGAAGGATTGGCTTCACTAATTTGCTCATGTGGGAAATGCTAATACTTCTTTTACAAACAGGGGCTGCTGGTGTTTTCCAGAGTGAAGCCTATCTCTTGAGCAGAGGACTTGCCTCCACTGTGCATTGACTCACAGGACTGTTCCTGGCCAAGACCAACGTTGCCCCAAGAGGGGTCAAACAGCCTGTCCACACGTGCACCACCTACATATTTTATTGATTCAGTCAACTTATATCAGGTGCCTATGATACTGTGATAGGTGCTAGAAATGCAGGCACATGAATCCCTTGTCTTCATGGGGCTTAGAATTGGTGCTGAAGGTAACATGGATCATCACAGTGTCCCAAGAGCCATGCATAGTGAATTTTCCCTGGCCCTGAGCTTCAGCTCATCCTTCCTATGGTCTTAACGTGCTGGAAATGGCATATACAACACATCATGCCCATTTTTTGTTCTTTGAGCTCGTAGCTCATTGACCTACCTGAAGATGTGGTTGGGTGGTTCACGTCTTCTTGGACAGAGGAAGTTGAGAGTGCTGCTGGGAAAACAACAATACAAGGAAAATGATGTTGAGTCCTGATATTGAGTCTGATATTGAGTCCTGAATGGAAAGAGAAGGACTTTTTTCAACTGCTTTACATTCCCAGGAGAAGAATTCAATTAACTTCATGCAAGCTCATTCAGCAGAGAATTTTAAAGGGACCAGCTGTCTTGAAAACATTATGTGAGACCCAAGGGCCACATACTGCATGACACCATTTATATAAAGTATCCCAAACAGGTCAGTCCATAGAGACAGAAAGCAAGTTGGTGATAGCCAGGTTCTGGGGGAAGGAGCTGTGATATAATAGCCATGACTATTAGCAAAGAGCAAAAATGCTGGACCCTCTCCCCACAGCTCAGCAGTCAGGAGCAGAGCCCTTGGAGAGCACCATTCCACAGAACACACCACAAGGCTGAGAAGACATCAGTGCTGATTCTGCCTGACTATGCACCAGGCTCCTTGCTGAGACAATTGGTAGCTTTATGAACTCGCTGACTGACACCTCACAACTCCTTGGAATATGCAGCTTTTGCCCTGGCTGGTGTGGCTCAGTTGGCTGGGCATCATCCCACAAACCAAAAGGTCACTGGCTCAATTCTGGTCAGGGTGCATGCCTGGCTTGGTTTCAGTCTCTGTTGGGGTACATACCAGAGACAACGATTGATGTTTCTCCCTCACATTGATATTTTTCAATTGGTGTTTTCTCTCTCTGTCTCAAACCGGCAAATAAAATTTTTAAAACTATGCTGTTATTATCCCTACTTTTCAGGTAAGGAAACTGAAACACAAAGGGGCCAATAAACCTGATGAGGGAGGTAGGAGAGTGTGACTCCAAACCCAGTGGTCCAGCAGCTGCCTCTGAGCTTTGTCCTATCAAGTAAGTGGTAAATGCCATGCAGGTTTCAAAAGGATCCTTAGTCACTTGGATATGAGACCTGAGAATTTGATGTGCTTGCTCTCTCTTCTGCTAATATTTGGAAATGTACACAAATATACAATCTGGGATCAGCTGAGTGGTGTTCATGTATTCAAGCATTTACTTATTTATAATTTAACTGGCACTGAATACCCACCAAAGAGCAGACGTGGTTGTTGAAATTGTGTGTATGCACGTGCACCACCAGTGGTAGTGACCACTAGTGGTCAGGGACAATATCAAAGATGAGTAAGATACGGATTCTGCTCCACAGACTGACAATGTCATTAGAGGAACAAGTGTACCCTGCCCCCCCACTGCACTGGAGAGGAATAGGAGCTACAGGTGAGGACAGATAAAGAGCCACAGGGGTCTAGGAGCTGCCAGCTTGGGATGGGGAGGATCGGACTGGACCCCTGGGGCTGCGGCGGGTGGGTGCCCTATTGGCAATATGCATGTGGATTTGGGAGCAATCAGTGTAGGAGCAAGAAAAGAAACGCTACTCAGAGAGTAGCCCACCTTTTGACCCTGTGCTTCCCTTGTCTCAGCTGGATCCTCAGAGTTTCTCAATAGACCACATGCCTAGTCATCCTTTTTAGTAATTCATAGGTTTTCAATGTGGTTTAGAGTTAAAAATAGCCCAGAGATTAAGTTCTAGGGCTCTGACATCAGAGTGTTTATGTTATGAATCCATTGACCTTGGGGAGAAGTAGGTTAATGGTAATTGACCATTAACCTACTTGAGCATGAGTTTCCCTTTCAGGAAATGGGGATTATAGAAGTTCCTCATTTAGCTGTTGGAAGGAGGAGGAGGAGGTAAGAAACCCTCACAAAGCGGTCAACACAGAGATTGACATGGCACAAGACAATTCTGTCCAGCAGAAAGAAAGCACAAGCTATGTTTGTAAATTTAGATTTTCTGGTACCACATTTTAAAAAGTAAAGGGAGCCCTGGCTGGTGTAGCTCAGTGGATTGAGCGCGGGCCTGCAAACCAAAACATTGCAGTTCGATTCCCAGTCAGGGCACATGCTTAGGTTGCAGGCCAGTCCCCAGCAGGGGATGCATGAGAGGCAACCATACATTGTATTTCTCTCCCTCTCTCCTTCCCTTCCCCTCTAAAGATAAATAAATAAAATCTTAAAAAAAAAAGTAAAGAGAAATGGGTGACATTAATTCGAATTATACATCTTATTTAATCCAACATAGCCAAAACATTATCATTTCAATACATAATCAGTATAATAGATGTCAATGAGAGTAATTTTACTTTCTTTTCATCGTACAAGTCTTTAAAAGATCCAGTGTGTATGTGACACACTCTCCAGGCGTCAGACCTGCCGGGCCACACTTCCTGTCCTTGGCAGCCACACGGACAGTGCAGGTGTAGGGCTCACTAAACACTGGCATCAGTATTGTCAGAATATGAATTATATGATGGTATGATTGAAATGCCAGCAGTTACAGATGACAGAGGAGTGGAGGCAGCATCGACTAACATGATGACAAAAAGAAATGGCCCATAATGGTGACCGCTGCTCAACATGACCAGGGAGAGGTACCCCCTGTTTGTGGGACTCACTGGTATAGGAAAATAATTAAGTCTTTCCAGTTGGACACTTCCCAGATAGGCCAGATGCTCCGGTTTATTTCTTAGATACAAAAACAATGAGG